CAGCATTAGCAGTAACTGCAAGGCCATGGCTCTGTGCTAACTGATACTTTCAAACAAAACTTGCCTTCCCTATTCAAATTCATATTCAAAATCTTTGAAAAGCTGGATGGACACTCTGTGGCAAAGGTGCCAGATCATGCTCCTGGAAGGCCTCCTGTAACATGGCCTGTAGATATGGGAAGAAGGAGGTGGAAACCAGCTTAACTTAACCCTCTGGGGTCTGAGGGGGTTTTTGCGGTCCTGGAGAAGTTTTGAAATGCCATAACAATTGTGCTTTTTTCAGTTTCTCATAAAAATATTAATGGAAATAAAGTTTGTGTGTAGTTAGTGGACGTAAACTTTAATTTCCAAATGAACACTAAAATAAAACAAGTGCACAAAACATAAAATGTCCCAGGCCTAGCCCTCTCTCTTCCTCCATTTTTGTCACTCCTCCTTACATCCTTCCAGAGCTCCTTCATAGAACTCAAGACCGGTGTGGCATACAGGTGAGTTTGAGCAGGGTTGGAGCTAAACTCTGCATACCAGTGGGCCTCCAGCTCCAGGGCCTCCAGCTCCTGAAGACCTCCGTTCTACAGAGTTCAGCTCCAACCCCAGCTAAACACACCTAAACTTGCTAATCCTGGCCTTCAGAATTAGAAGAAACTTCCAAGCAGGTGTGGTGGATCTAAACTCTGCAGGAAAGTGGCCTTCCAGAAGCAGAATTGGACACCCCTACTTTACAGTTCCACAGTACTCAAAACATTTTCTTTGGTTGAAAGGACGAGATCTCTGTGAGCATCTGAAATCTTTCAGCCCTCATTCTATACATAATGTTTAATTAAATTTTGTCGTGTGGATCTTCATTCATACCTTGTTTGGGACAGGAACGCATTGCATCTCCATACTGTAATGAATCAATGCGTTCATGTCTTCAACTGCCTCATCTGGCAGAAGATAAGAACTGCTTGAGATGTGTTCTTTGAGGCCGTGGATAATTGTATTTTATGGAATTGCTCATGATGTTCCTCAAAGGTTCAGCTGTGGGTTAGCAGATCTTTTTAATCTTTCTTTCCTCCAATGGGTTGCTACGAAAAGTTGCTATATCTTTTTCTTCATCTAATAACATCTTCAAACTGAAGTAGAATCCTCTCTAAAGTGTAATACCTTGTTCTAATCAGTGACCCTATTTCGGCAAGATGTGGACATGTGAATACATCTATTTAAATGCTAATGCATTCATGCGAATATACGTTTGTAGACGTCTTGATAGGTAATGCTAAGAAGCACTACAGGGCCCTGC